AAAGCTGTCCCTGCTCAGTGCAGGGGGGTTGGGCTAGATGACCTCTAAAGGTCCCTTCCAACCCAAAGCATTCTAGGATTCTATGATTCTATGGGTTCTGGACACCAAGCTAACACAGCTAGGGCCAGCGTATTGATTTCATAGAATAGAATCATAGAATCGTTTAGGTTGGAAAAGACCTTTAAGATCATCCAGTCCAACCATTAACCTAACATTACCAAGTCCACACTAAACCAATTAAGGGTAGACTAGACTAAACCATGTCCCAAAGTGCTACGTCTACCCGTTTTTTGAACACTTCCAGGGATGGTGACTCTGTTTCCATTCCCCCCTGTCTCTTGGATCCCCTCCTTCTGCTTGCTGGCAAGAGGGCAGGGGATCCTCCGCTACTTGTGGTGCCTCTGCCTGGTGCCTTGGCCCCAGGGACAGTAGGGTGCGGCTCCACCAGTCTCTCTCTCTCTCACACTCCCTGATACTCCTCAGCCTTTCCACCTCCTCCTTCAGCTCAGCCACCAGGCTGAGCAGATCATCTACCTGGTCACACCGAAGACATTTGCTGTCTCCACTGTCTTCCGGTATGAGTGACAGGCTCAGGCACTCCCTGCAGCCAGAGACCTGGATGGCTGCGTGTTCGTGCAGGAGCTCCATCTGGGTCACTGCATTCCTTCTGGTGGAGGCTTTCAGCCGCCTTAGCAAGTGTGCCCCAGCACAAGCGTCTGCTCCGGAGCCCTTCGCCTTGGTGACTGCCATCATCTTCCAGGAGAGCCAGGGTGAACACCATGGCGAGGTCAACTCTAAGCTTGGATACCAATGGCCAAATTACTCAAGGAAATAAGTAAGTGACCTATCCATGCCACCCCGTACTGTGAGATCTGCTGGGACAAATAAGTGCTTGCAATATTTTTAGCCACCCTGTGTTAACTGCAAGGAAGTGGAGGGCATTCCACAAACAGAACTGTAACACAAGCAAAGTATCCATTAACAGATTTATTTTTTCTTTCCATAATATCAGAATAACTGAGATATCTACATTTCGTCATGAAAATTTTTTAAAAAAACACTGTGTGAGGAAGTTGTGAACCTCCAGGTATTGTTAGCCTGTTCTTGCCCCTTGATACTGGTTAAAAAAAAAAAATCTCTTGCCAAGTTCTGGGCCAAATCAATAGGTAAACATTAATCATTAGATGTGACATCAGCTGGCAAAGGTTTCAGAATTGCTTTTCTTTCTACAAGCCAACTCGTAGAAATGTTCAAGCTACTATTAAATCTGTTACAGTTCTGAAAAGCTGTTACAGTTCTGATGAGCTTCAGCAGTTTTAAGGCTTTTTTTTTGTGTGCAACTTTGGGAAGCAACTCTCAAGTTCTTCAAGACCAAAGCCATTGTCATGTACTTAAAGTTATTAGCCCAATTATTAACAGAAGTTATCATCACCGAACATCCAACAAAAAGACTGAAACATGCCTCTCGATCAGTGAGTTAAAAGCACTTAACAGAATCACATTCTTTTGTGCCATTGTCCCAGGAATATGTGACCTTCACACTTTTACAATGGCTTTTCCAAGATTTTCTCCCTTTAACATTCCAATGAAAGCCATTGGCATGTTCTCAAATCCTTCAGTGACTTGTTCATGGCACTTTACTTTTCCCTGTGAAGAAAGCAAGAAAGGAAATTGCTGAGTTTTCATTCACCAGCTGCCTAGTTTTTACCATCGTCCCCCTGTACTCGGCACTGGTGAGGCTGCACTTTGAATACTGTGTTCAGCTTTGGGCCCCTCACTACAGGAAAGGTGTTGAGTTGCTGGAGCGTGTCCAAAGAAGAGCAACGAAGCTGGTGAAGGGTCTGGAGCACAGGTCTTATGAGGAGCGGCTGAGGGAACTGGGGTTGTTTAGTCTGGAGAAGAGGAGGCTGAGGGGAGACCTTATCGCTCCCTACAACTACCTGAAAGGAGGTTGCAGCGAGGTGGGTGCTGGCCTCTTATTCCAAGTAACAAGTGATAGGATGAATGGCCTCAAGCTGCGCCAGGGGAGGTTTAGATTGCATATTAAGAAAAATTTCTTCACAGAAAGGGTTGTCAAGCACTGGAACAGGCTGCCCAGGGAAGTGGTTGAGTCACCCTGGAGGTATTTAAAAGACATGTAGATGTGGTGCTTAGGGACATGGCTTAGTGGTGTACTTGGCACTGCTATGCTAATGGTTGGACTTGATGATCCTAAGGATCTTTCCAACCTAGATGATTCTATGATTCTGTGATCTTCAGGAGACTAAACTGCAACCAAATTTTCTCCAGCTTGTATGATTCACCTGAAATATGCAAGGTGGCAGGCACCAGAGTAACTTTGCAAAACTAGGTAGGCTGTTGTGAGGATCTGCTTTTGTTGCAAGACCTTCTACTTGGAGTCACAACAGGGAGCAAAAGTCACTGCTATAAAAACACACCAGGATAGATTTAGTGCTACTTGGTCCCCAAACAATGGACAGGTAGAGGATTCCTTCTGCAAAGCCAGGCCTGTCTCTATGCGTAAGGAAGTATGGAACTGCAGATCTAAGTGATTGGAAGTTGAGCCATCCCAAATCCTCATGTTTGTAAAAGCTAGAGCCTCTTAGCCTTTAGTGTTCACAGAACACTCACAAGCTTTGCACAGCCATGAACCAAGTGTTAAAATCAGCCCCCATTTAGAAAAATAAAATTTAAGAAATTCCCTGTTAAGTCCCTTTAAAGCCCAGCTCCCAATTCCATAAAAACATCCATTCTTGCCAGTAATTTCAGCACAACACTACAATGGAAATCTTTGCTCATACTACAAATTAAAGGAGACTTCTGAATGAGAAATAGGGGAATCACTCTAAATATGAAACTCTTCATTGCCAGAGAAGTGTTTTGAATTATTCTATAAGCATCCCTTTTCAAAGCCTACATGTATTCTGGAATATATCTTAGTTAACAAGCTAACATCGCAGGTCTCAACAAAGCAGAAGGGATCAGGCACGTTCACTGTGGTTTCAGTGTCCCCAAAAGGCTCAAAGATCAAGTCAGGTGGAAGAAAAGTATCATGCTGGCACCTCACCTCAACAGCTATGACAAGAGACCCCTTGCAAAGAGAGAAGCTATGGTGTGAGTACACCTTACAGAAAACTACCCCTTCCTTCCTTACCTCCACGACCCATTTTAGCAGTGCCTTCAGACCTTCCTCCCGGCGGTTATTCCAGCGGGTCACAATAAACCCTTCCATTTGAAGCTCTTTGAAGATCATTGGAACCTGCATGTAAGGCCCTGCAAGAGAAAGGTATCGGCAAACCATCTGCAATATCAGTTTCATTTAAAATAAGACCCAATGCCTGAAGGGAGCTTTTAGCCAGTCAAGACCACTGAACCACTTTGTTCCAGCCAGAAGCAACTGCTTTTTTTTCCAAACAGTATTTCCAGGACAAAAGACCAAGGATTCAAGGACAGACAGCCACCCAGGGAAACAAAGGCCTGATCCATAAAGCTGTGTCTAAACACCCAACACTTTTGAAAACAGTTTCATTCAGAAGTCAAGTGGCCTCAGCTTCAGCTGAGGGGTTTCAGCTGAATCCTGGAAGTACTCTCATGACAGCTTGTTTGATAGCCTGCCAAGCTCTCATGCTCTTCCTAAATCTCAAAAAAATTACGCACATTAAAGAACAGTTCCCTCAATCATAAAAATGTGTGATAGTTTCCTGTCATGGTTTTGGCTGGGATAATTTTCTTCCTAGTAGCTGGTATAGTGCTATGTTTTGGATTTAGTATGAGAATAATGTGAATACACACTGATGGTTTAGTCGTTGCTAAGTACTGCTTATGCTAGTCAAGGACTTTTCACCTTCCCATGCTCTGCCAGGTGCACAAGAAGCTGGGAGGGTCACAGCCAGGGCAGTTGATCCAAACTGACCAAAGGGCTATTCCGTATCATATGACGTCATGCTCAGTATATAAGCTGCGGGGAGTTGGCCGGGGGGAGCGATCACTGCACTGCTTGGGAACTGGCTGGGCATTGGTTGGCGGGTGGTGAGCAATTGCATTGTGCATCACTTGTTTTGTATATTCCTTTATCATCATAATCATCATCATCATTATTATTATTATTATTTTCTCTTCCTTTGCTGTCCTATTAAACTGTCTTTATCTTAGCCCACAGGTTTTACTTCCTTTTTTCTGATTCTGTCCCCCATCCCACTGGGGAGGCAGGGTGTGTGGTACTTAGTTGCCAACTGGGGTTAAGCCACTCTCAAAAGACAGTTCCATTTTTAAAGTGATCTGGGAGTCCAAAGCCAGTCAGTTGTCAAAGAGAGTTCAGACTTCCTATTTATTCTAGAAGGCAAATTCGGAAAACTTAATGCTATTGAAAGTGAATATTCATCTCAGCCACATTTCCCAGCAGTCTCACCAGTAGCTGAAATCTTGTGGAAAAAAAACCCTATGCTGCCTCATCTAAAAACCTGAGGGGAATCCATTCTCTCATCTAAAAGTATGTACTGTGTAACTGGCATCATGCCACCACACCTGCATTCTACTGATCTGTATCTGCTTAGAGCCCCAGGGAATCCTGTTTTAAGTAGTTTAGTCTCTCCTTCCATTTCTAATCAGCTGATGTTCTCCATCCAATAGGAGTCTGCACAAACAGGGATGAGTGCACATACACACAAGGAGCGTGGTCACACTCCTGATGTCCCAGAGCAGCAGTTAGTTACCCAAATGTACACACATACATACACTCAAATGGCATACAGAAACAACCAATAAAATCTCAAGAGACTCCCATTATGTCTTCCTGTCTGCCATCACCAAACAGGAAATAAACTTGGAACAAGGAAGCAGGCACACACCTTGCTGAGGCACAGAGTCATTGTACTGAGAGATGGCTCCACAGACTGCAATCCTTCCATATTTCTTCATATGGTTGATAGCAATACTGGCAAATTTTCCACCCACCTACAAGAACCAGAGCATGTCCAGCATTACAGACAATCCAGTGTTTGGCATTGACTGCCAAAACCTGCCAACCTTGCATTGTTGTACCAACAAGTTCCATCAAGGGGTGAAGAGGTGAGTTCCACTACTCCAAAGACTTGGTGGCCACAGAAACCCTTACACTTAGTCAATACCTATGAGGATTCAATGTCACTCTTCTAAAAATTAGTTATGAACACAGAGAATTGTTTTTCATTCCGAATCTGCTTCACAAAACTTGGTTTGGAAGCATTGGGCAGGACTTGCCCTTAGATCCCACCTCCTAAGGGGCATGTCTAGGGATACTAAGAAGCACCACCTCTGCTTTTCCCCACACCAGTCTGCACTTTCACCTCTTCACACTACGGTGATGAGAAGTTTTTTCTTAATGATTCTTTTATCCCAAATAGGGATGTGCTGTACTCAGAAGGTTTTAACGGAGAAAAGCTGTGAAGAAGTTTACTGCTGAGGAGAGCTCCGCACAAAAGTCATGAGAGGGAAGGGAATGGACGTGACCATAAAACCTGTTTAAGACCTTAGCAGCACAGGACATGAAATTTCAAAGGGTGAGGCAAAGCAACCAGGGGCTCCTGCCACAGGGGCAAGTGCTTTGCCCTGGCACCATGCATTCACATTGGTTGCCAAGGCAAGGTGGGTGTACTGCAATCCGCATAGAATAACAGCACTGTCATCCCTAGATGAGCAGACAGACATGCTAAAGGGGTGATGATGCCTATCCTTTAAACCAGGCCAGTATGTTAGCTAATACCCCTGTGCCAGGTATTTATATTATATGGTATAATGCATACATTAGCTATACTAGGAAATTAAAAAAGCCAGGACTTGTTCTCTGCCTTGAAGGTGAACTGACGTAGTTTGACTGCATCCATATTGTTAAACTCTCTTAGTCTCCAAAACAAGACGGTCACATTCAAACAGCCTATTGAGAACAGTCCACAGCCCCCACTAACTCTAGCTGTACCTGAGAGAGGTCAGAAATCTTCTATGGGCCACTCCAGCAGTTTTACAAGTGGGCCTTGCAACTCTTTTGTTTACAGGTACCGGTGTAGCCACCTGGACCATGTCTATCTGGACCATGTAACATGAGGCTGTCCATGCTCGCTCCCCTTCCAGCAACAGCAGAGAACCGTCTGTGGTCCAAGGTGGGGCCAGGAATGGACCAGAGCTCTCTCTGTTCAGCATCAGTTAAATGTTCACTGTGACCCTCACCTCCCCAAAATGTGCCATACTTTCCAAAGAGTGAAAGCTTCTCTCTCTCCCTTCACAAACACCACCACCAATCCAGCTTTGCCTTTCAGTCTTTGTTCTTTCTGTTACTGCCCAAGTCAGCCACAGAAATAAGTGTGGGAAGGGAACAGGAAAGCAGTAAGCTCTTATGGAGACCATTTCTCACTTAGATGGAACTCAGTATTGAGTTCCTGGTGTAGTCTTCAATTAGATGTATACAATATTGAGTTCCTGCTATAGTTTAAGGAAAATGACAGTCTGCTCAGGGTAAGGCCGTCTCTCTGAACTCACATTGTCAAAGAAACAGTCGTAGCCATCAGGAGAGGCTTTACGCAGTGCTTCATCCAAAGATGTAACAGTCTTGTAATTAAAGGCTTCATCAAAGCCTATTTTTTTCAAATAGGCAACTTTGGCATCTGACCCAGCACAGCCAACCACTTTGCAACCCTGCAAGGAAAGGAGAAAAACATTCCTAAAGATCCCCTCACAACACAGGCTGACACTCACAGAGTGCTGGGTGGAGGGCTCACCCTTGAAGTCGGGCTGTCATCACCATATGAGTTCTTGAGCTCTAGGAAACATTCAACTAGCTTTGCTACATCTTCAGGAGCTTGTTCCATCTCAAGACTTTACTGTAGGCATGCCTTCAGGGATGCTTGCCCTCCTGATCATTCATGACCTTGCTCTCCTGTCTCCCAGGTGAGCCTTCTGAGGAGCAAGTATAAGCAGTACGAGCCACTCACCCCAATTTTAGCAAGCTGCCCCACCACAGAGCCCACAGCGCCAGCTGCAGCATTAACCAGCACCGTCTCTCCTGGCTTCATCTTGCAGACCTCCAGCAGACCAAAATATGCAGTGAGGCTGTGAAGAAAAGAAAGAATGCTCAGTGAGGGATAAAAGATGTCAGTCACAGAGATGTGACTTGACCACACTGAACCAAAATATCATCACAGCCAGAACAAGATTCAGTTTTCCTCATTCTTTATGAAATAGAAAAATTAACCCAAACTTCCTAATTTGGCCTTTTTACAGCCATCCCAGAAAAAACCCACATACATTACTGGCAAACAGGATGCTGTGGCAGAAGTCTACCTTAGGTGAAAACAGCTTTTCTTGTGCTCACTTGCCAAAAGAAGAAACATAGAGATAACTCTGTGACAACTCAGTTACACACTGGAAGAGAGTAAATCCAAGCTAGGCAGAGGTCAGTAGACAGTTGGTATCTACCAGATTGAAGCAAAGATTAAACGATACTCATCGCAAATCAAAGTTGGCAGAAAAATAAAAAATGGTGGCAAAACCTTGCTGAACTGATGGGCACACTGCTCCTGAGGACTACTGTGTAGAGCTATGGCTACTGGGTGAATAGTGATCTGTAGGAACCACTTAAGTTTAGCTCAAGCATGTTCCACTGATCTTATAAATACTGAATGACATCAGGCTCTGCAAGCTTCCTGAAGCAACGTGATCAACTGGTCCATAATCCCAACAAACTTCTCTTCTAACTTCCAAATTCAAGCTTAGAGCTTCCCATTGGGTCCAAACTGAAAGGGTGAACTGAATCTATCTAGCAGCTGTCTGGAAAAACATGTATCTTGACAGATGTCAAAATCTCCTGAGAAGTTCTGCATCACACACAATGTTACAATCATTTTGAAAGCCTTCTGTGTCAACAGGTCCAACCAAGTCCTTCTTTCCCACACAAACTTATGAGAAGATGACTGACACTGCAGCAGTGAATACAGATTCTGAAGCACAGCGGCTCTGGCTGCTGCACTGCAATTTAAAGGACCTCTATTTTGCTGCATGATATGACAGCTGTCTTGCCATTTTGGGGGCAATTCTGGAAATACGGTGATAGCAGAAGAGCCCAACCAGCAAAAACAGACTAGTCCAGGTGCCAGTGAAGTTTGAGTCTTCCCACTGAGGTTAATTCAGATTGAATTGGATACTTTCCAGCTCCTCCTGGATCCTCCTCCTACCTTATTGCAACTCCTCAAGGAGAGGCACCATAATCTCCAAGGCAAATCTCCTCTGATCTAGAGAATGGGCCAAACTTCAGGCCCTCTACAGCATAAGGGCAACCAGAAGCATACATGTTTTTTACCAGAGTGAGCAGACAACGTCCTGGTAGAACAAGACATGGGAAGGAAGTCATACAGATAGGCAGAAATACCCTACACAGCAAAATCCAGGGGATAGCTGCCTTTGGATCTTGAAACTCACCCTGGCATGCCAACTGCCCCAAGAGCCAGAGATTTGGGGAGTGATTCTGGCCAACTGGAAGGAAGGAGTTGTAGGTCTTTCCCATCAGAGATGAAATGAGTTCTCCAGCCACTTCTAGCCACAACAAAGGTCCCCACTGTGAAAGCAGGATTCTTGCTTTCTACAGTCCTGTTTAAAAGAAGGAAAAAAAAAAAAAGAAAAGAATACCCTGTCAGAGACAAATCATTAGTGGCTCCTTCCTACTTTATTCCTGTTGCCCTGTGATGCAGGAGAAAAGAAGTATTTCACATCAGGACATCTAGCCCATACCTGCTGGTGCTGTAGGCTTCTGATGTCTTTCCTGAAATGTCTACAATCTCTCATCACCAGGGGGATACTGGGCAAGATAATTCTAGACTCAGCCCTGCTCACAACAAATCCAATGTTCCCACATGGATGCTGACTTTTTTTTGACTAGCACCAGTCTGGTATGAGTTAGAAGGCAGGAAAGAGGATACCAGGATTAAAGGATGGAAAAGCAAGAAGTCACAGATAGGCTGTAACAAGCAGTTCCCTTCTCAGACAACCTGCGCCTCATTTGAAGGTTGAAGATCCTGAAGATGGAACCTCTTGGGGTAACAAAACCAGACAGAAAGCAGTATCAAGTAACAGGGAGAATTTTGTATTTGCGGTGTCTCTATGCCAGATGAAAATTCAACTTTCTTAAGCCCAACAGGAAAACTACACTGGGAAGGGGTGGGTAAGCAGCTTTGAAATATCGGAAACAGTTGGCCTTCTGTTCAGCGGACTTGGTTGTTAATTTATCCCAGCCTTCGTGTTCCTGCAGAGAAACACAAAAGTCAAAGGCCACAGATGTTCCTGGGCAGCAACTTAGAGGCAGCACAGCAGGAACAAGCTGACAAAGGGAAACATCTGTGTAGCTTAATTGCCACAAGCTTGGGAAAGAATGGATTTAAGGTTGGATAACCCTTAGGCTAGAGCTGTATCTTAGGTGATGCTGAGGTATTCTCAGCTGGAGTAGGTAGCATATATGGTTTTGGGCATGCAACTAGCACAGCAGATTTTAAAATGTGAAGTTGATGCTTACAGCAAGTACAATGGTCGGTCCTTCATACCGCTGCTTGTAAAAATTTTCTTTGAAAACATTATCGCCAGAAATAACATCTAGATTGTATCGGAGGTCTAAATGCTATCCAAGAAGGCAAAAGAGGTTCTTAGAAGAAAAACACACTCCAACCAATTACAGACAAGAATACAGTTGCAGAAGTATGTAAACTCACATCAAGAACAGATAATGCAGGCTGCAGATGTCTTGAATTCCAGTACATTCCTTTGAGATCTGCCACGTGTATGGATAACGAGATCTGAAGATCTTACCTGGCAACCTGTGTGCCTATCATTATGTCCCCTTCCTTCATGTCCCTTCGACTGTAAGGTCTGTAACACAGGCAGAGAGACGGCTTACAGTAAGCAACTATAATGATGTTCCAGATACGCTATGAAGCAGTAGCTACTGTCTGACTCAGGAAGAGAGCATGTTGAACAGATTGCAAAGAGATCGCCATTGTAATGACTTAACTGGATGTCTTCCATAGCCAGCTACTCGGGCATCCCATCTTGACTAAACACTGGGCTAAAGTGTTGGGGACACAATAGCATTAATCTTCTCAGCATGGTCCACCACTACAAGAAGGCTGAGACTCCAAAGAAATATCTCTGACACTAGGGTCCACCACACTTCTTCAAACTACCCCATCTCCCTGTGCTTGAACTACTGCCTATTAACATGGGCATATCAGCAATTTCCTACTTAGAATATGTATCCTTAAGTACAAGGTTGCTAAGATAAGTGTAGCAGCTACTGCAACAGGGCTGCAGTCTCATTTGAGCCCATTGCATTCCAGTGGAACAGATGTGACAAGGAACATGACAAGGAGTCCAAGAAAAGTCTAGGGCTGCAGCATCATTATCCTGATGTCTGGCTCAATCTGGCACAGTTCTATATTAGGAGTCTTGTAATTTACACATTTTTTATAAAAAGCAGACAAAGGCATCTGGAACACTGACACCAGGGGATGCTCCCAGTACATGTTCTTTTGAGGTTTAAGTGGGAGATCAAATGAGGTATCTTAGCCAGCCGTTTAAAAAGAATAAAAAGATATATACCTCATGTAAGGATCAACACTAAGAAACACTGATTCAAGCAGCAACTCTGCAACAAAAGACAAAGCAAATTCCTGGGCATTAGCAGTGCAGTAAAGCATAGTTTCCACAAGTCAGTCTTTCAACAAAAGCTATAGGAATTCCTGACAGCTCAAAAACCCCATATCCCATCATCTTTTAGGGAAAAACTACCAGAAATTACTACTACATTCATCAGCTTTGTCTGGATTATCGCTGTGCTGTTACAAAAGACACTTTCTGTACTGTCTCTTTAGCAGGCTAGCTTCTTTTCAATCTTTTCTTTATCTGCCTCCTCTCTCTATAGAAGGCTCAAGCCTAAGAAAAACACTAACTTACTTTTGACCCAGTTATAAAATACCTTCCCGTGATTCAGCCAGCAGAGGGTGGTTGAAACCTTGGCACAGGTCAAATATAAACTCTACTTTGCTGCCTTAAACAGAAAGCATTAGGCTATCTTTTTTAGGTAGCCTAATTTGCCTTATTGTCTCTAATGGCACTAGTTCTTGTGAAATATACTGTTAAACAAATTTTAATTTAAATTCTTATTCACACAGCAGTTTTAGCTGTTCATCTCCACCTAATACTACTTTTCATTGCCTGTGCTACAGTGGTCTAGCTAGTACAAGCTAGAAATATATTCAGATATAAATATTTTTGCATTACTCTGAGTGAGCAGGAAGAACAGTCAAGGCCATGTAACACAACAAGAAAGGCCATAACCTTTAAAATTGTTACTCTGGCATGAAGTTATGCCTCTGCTTGCTGTAGGGATCAAAATGGGAAGGAAAAAATGACTCAGTGTTCTTAAATACTCACAGGCATGAAATTTTTAAGTGTGTCTGAATGCTACAGAAGTACACATGCTATTAAAATGCTTGAAAGTATATGAAAGAAGAAATCGCTTTTCAAACCTTTAAGCTGTAAACATAACTAGTACTTTAATGCAATTTCTTTCGTGCACCTTCTAAACCAGAGTAAATTTTGTAAAGGACAAGTGGTGGGGTGAGGTTCAAGACAGCATGGTCAGCATGGTATTGATGTCTATGTGAAGCCAAAAATCAAGGATCATTCTTTCATCAACAGCTCTTGGATAAAAGTAAGCAACCATATTCCCTACCCTTTTCAAAAGAGAGAAACACAGGAATAAAACCTGTGCAATATTTTCCCTTTTTATTCACTCTCTCTTGCTGTCACAACAGGTCAAATATAACAGATAAGCACTGGCAAAAAATAGATGTTGAATGCAGACAGAAGTCTTGCCTTGTTGCTTCTTAAAATGAAAGACAAGCCCACATTGACTCCAGCCCCAAGGCTCACTCCCACTCCAGTCACTCTGCCCTCCCCCAGCACTGTCCTCAATACCTTCCCTATCAGCATGAAAAACTCCAATGAAAACCTATTCCCAGAAGCTACCATCTTCTCCAGCCTTCTCCAAAGGACTTTGCAAAATAAAGTAGGTGAAAACCTTTCACCAGTAAAGCACATTTGAGTTTTACTGTAGTTACCTCATTTTCTCTGTGTCACGGTTCAGTTCTCTCTCTAAATTAAATTAATTCTGTTACTTTGCGGCTGTCAGTTTCAAGGGCATACCACTTCAGCAATTTTCTCCAGTAAGCTTCATTTGCAAACACATTTGAATGCCTTTGCCATCAGGCACCACGTGTGATTAGACAGTGTGAGACTGTGAAAGGCATGCTGCAGACGCTGGGCGCTGGAGCTAGAAGAGCTCAGCCACTGTTTCTAAGCGTATTATCAGAAGGCAGCACGTCTTAAAACCCACCAAACCCATCAGCATACATGTTCTTAAGCAATCACCCTTCTCTGCTAAGGTGCATGGCTCGCCACAAGCCATGCCAACCCATTTGCGAAAATCCAAGCCAGAGAAACATACAAACAGTTCTACAGATGCACAGCCATTTGTCACCAACCAGACAACCTCCGGAAAAAGAAAAAACAGGTGGCACTTCGCTTACCTCCATCCTTTAGGTTTGGCAGCTCTATTGTTTTCAGGTCAAAGTCACTGGTTTTGGGGAAACCCTCAAAATGCTTCTTCAGAACCCACGCCTTGGCAGTCACCATCCTGAACAACAATCAGCACGGCCAAAGAGCACCTGTCAAAGAGATGCCCAGTGGTGCTGGGCTGCTCATGGGGGGCTGGTTTAGACTTTATGAAGTGGAAAACTACCTCAATAACATGCCATCACACAAGACAGCCTCTGCCGGCATCCTGTAGCAATATCACTAGATCAAGAAAATGTCTGAAAAGCCCGCTCATTGCCTAAGCAACCGAGAGCTCCCTGCAACCCACCAGACCTCTGTGCCTGCTGGCAGCAAGCCCTGGTGTGGGAAGTCAGCCCCAGCAGGATGTACAGCTCCCACTCTAAAGCAATTGAAGAGGAAAAATCTACTAGTTTAAGGAGAAAAAAAAATCCTGAAAGGAAAAAAAAAAAACAACCCCTTAAATCCACTCTTTTGCCCCGATTATATGGGGTGAGTACTGAACCTAAACTTTTACAAGCTTGAACCAAAGTGCAAGTCAGAAATACAAAGGTAAGAAACACCTCTTTCCATGACATCCCACATCCCTTATGTTGAAAGAAAACGCTTCTCCAGTTGCCAAGCTCAGGGCTTCGAACTGGGAGCACATTGTCACCAGCATTTTCCATACAAAATGTTAACAAACAAATGATTTGCATTAGTTTTACCCTCACAACCCCTTTTTCCTTCCTATAAGCAAGTACATCAACAAGGACAAAGAAAGAGAAGTTTATACTTAGAGCAGGCAGGTGGCAAACTGTGTCTTCTGCTGACAAGGCCAGTCAATAACCTTCTGCACGCAACTCGGTTGGTGGCTGGTCTCCTTCCGTGTCACACACCTCCTAAAAGGCAAAGATATCTGCTTTTACCGACAGAGCAGGTACTGCAGTCCACTTCCCCAGGAGCAAGCGTAAATCTTCAGTAAACCTGGCACAGGGCACAACCAATGTGATTCACCTTTCTCCTATTAAGATTTAAGATCACCCTTACAGACTGCTCCAATTCAGCACCCAGCCAGTTGCACAGGAATGTTCTGCAATATGCCAAGCTAAATACACAAAAACCATGGTCCTAGAAACTCCAAAATACTGCAGTCTGGAGACTATCCCCCAGAGCAGCAGTTTCTTCAAATCACATTTTACCAGTCCAGCACTAAAACTCTTAAGAGTTCTGCCACTGAGGAAAAAATATCTAATTAAAAATGTACATAAAATTCATTGTTCAATCCATCACTTAACACAGCGAATGATCCATACACACGCCACTATCACAAGGGAACACTATAATGACATTTACATAGTGAGATTCCTGCAGGCTCTCAAAGGACAGTGTGCTCTGACACCTTCACTGCCCACAATGCATGCATCAAAGGATCAGAGCTTGTATGGCTACGCTGCTGCATGCTGGGTTCTCTGTGCATTGCAGAGCCACCTTAAGAAATAGTAGCAAGCTTTGGCATTGTGCCTCAACTGTGTTGCAATGAGGCATGCGGCATGGGAGAAAACTTTGTCCAGGGACCATCTGTCTTCAGCTTTTGTTTTTCTTGTGAAAATATTCAAGTAGAATATGACGGGTGGAAAGTGTAAAGAGACCAATACATAGCGGCATGTTTAACTACAAAACACCTGAAAGCAAAACTACTAATAATGAACAGAGACCTGAGAAAATAAACAAAACTTTTTAAAGACACACAAGCAAGGACCAGGGAGAACAGGCCAAGCTCGCAATTATTTAGATAACAGCAAAAGGCACCAGACCCAGAAACTCATTAGCCATCAGCAACTTTCTGTCTTGAACTAGGGATATTCCTGGTTCCTCGATGAGAAACAAACACAGCACAGGTGAAGGGTTCCTGTGCTAGGAGAGAAAGGGCTAAACCTCACCCAGATAGTTTTAGTTACTTGCTGAAGCAGAGTAGATAAATAGGACAGATATTTCGAAGAATGTGACTCCTTGTCTGGCACAATAAAACAGATCTTAAGTTTGTTAGGCTTACTAAAGCACTGATAACATAGACTCAGGACACCTGTGCCAAGATGAGCACTCAAGGAACTGGTTTTGTAACATTCCAAGGCCAAAGGCCTGATGAGCGAATTCAGTGACCATATATGGACAAAGGAGGCCCAAAGTTCAACCAGCGGACAAGTGAGAAGGGCTATCGGAGACCACCGGAGGACCCCCGAAGACCACCAAAGAGGACGACTACGCCTGCGGATTGGACATTTGCATATGTCAATGAGTTCCGGGAAATCTCACGTTTATGTATATGAATTCTCGGAAATCCTGTGAATATGTACGACTTTATAGTATATAATCTTTGGAGGTTTGCCAAATCATTGGAGCACTCGTGGTGGAACGATCCCCGGTGCTGCCCAGCGCTGCAATAAAGGATGCCTGCTTAATAGTAACTTTGTTGCTATTGAGTTTTATTTCGGGAACTTTCCGAATACTCCGTTTCCTCCTACGGAGGTTCAGACTTTGAAGAATAGTATCCGCGAATTTTTGTATGAGGAGCGTGTGCTGGGGAAAGCACCTGTATCAGGACACATACGTATTTCACAAAATAAAAGAAGTATCATCAAGCTGACCGTCCAAGCATTCCGCATGCATTAAGTGAGCAGCCAAAAGCAGCATTCCTCACCTCCTACAAACAATCACAAGAAGAACCAAGGTCACAGAAAGGTTACCTGCAGCAATTGCGATCTGACTTGCAAATGTTCTTTCTTAAAAAAAAAAAAAAAAAAGCAGGTGGCACTCCCCTGGCACTTCCATCCGCTGCTGGATTTGCTTTGGTATCAACGGTGCTTATCTGTACTTGTCAGTAACAAAGGATATCGCAACGCTGCAGCAACAAGGCAAACCCAGCAAACGGGCTTACAGGAGCAAAAGGTGAGTTTGGAGCAAGACAAAACTGATCCCGCTCACTCGCTTATACCCACAAGCACTAAGAATTGCTTGTCCCAGCAGTGTGTCCTGCGTTCAAGCACAGGTACTCAAGTGCTCCAGCCGGAATGACAGGGGAGGAGGGAGGGATGCTGGCGGGGCTGGCCGCCTTGCGCCGATGCTCCGGGGAGCCAACACGATTCAGAAATGCTTTGTCCCCCAGCCTGTCCCACCATCAATATTGACTCCCTGCTTTTTGTCTCTTCTGTCTGTGTGCCTCGGGGCTCCAGCCCTGTTCTTTACATTCCGACCATCACCTCTTAACGGCTTGATTCTTCACATTAGTCTGAGTACAGGAACATGTTGTCCCTTGTTTTAGGCTGCCCTTTGTTTTCCCTGTCTGGTCCTCTAAGCAGCTGCACAAAGATGTGCCGTAATCCTGATGATCTGTAAATCTAGGTGCCACCAGCATTGGCCATTTCTCTCTCTCTTCTCTGTTCCTTCCGTGCTTGCACTCAGACCTCCCATTCACACCAATCTTCACATCCGTACCAAAAATTTCTGCTTTTTGTGATACACAGATTTTTCAGCAGAGCAATGATTCCTCCTACAAACAATACCGCAAGATTAATTTCACTGAACCATTTTTATTACATTTAGGCCTAACTTTGGGAACAGGACAAATTTTCTGCTGACCACTTCTTCTACTGAAATTGCATTATTATAGCCACTTCAAGGCTAGGAACGTTTTCTGTAGGCTGTAAAACAAAAAGCCCCAAACCAAAGAGAAAACAGAACACAGACAGGTGCTTGAAGAATGGATTCACAAACTAATTTCCAGGATAACAAAGAAAGATTACTTTGTATGTTTAGGTATAAAATCTTAAGAACTGGTAAGGACTACGTAGCTTAAGCATATTAAAGAACTCTAAAGCGTAAACAGCAGTGATGCAACATTTGTGGGGTCCAGTAAAAGCATTACTGGACTAAGCATGTGATAGCCACCATCTCAGCTCCAAGAGCAGTAACCACTGCACTGTAAAACTACTTTGTTGTCAGTGTCAGTGGGTTTGAATAATACATTTCTTTTGTGTGTTTTCTGTATAAAGTGTTTCATAGACCATTATAAACATTACTGCAAAGAGGCAGCTATGATAAAAACTTGAGAAAGGACAATCCATAAAGGTGATAAAAAGACTCTTTTAAAAATAATTCATTTCTAGCAAGTCCCAGGAAAAAATTAAGGTGATGCATTTCTGTCTGATATTCTTAAAAAAGAACCATTAAAGCTTTTACTGACCTTGAAGTCCAAGACAGCATTTATTCTGATCTCCTTCAAACCCTCATCCTCTGGTCTAGCCCATCAAATTATCAAAGAATAAAGTTTTACATTAATCTCTATCAACTTTTTCCATAAAATCAGACACCTAGGAAAGAAGTAATGGATTGGGGAATCTCAACTTTGTTCACTAACAATATATGTAAGAAAGCAAAGATCCAGTCTGTGTTCAGACACTGCAGTTGGTGCAAACTGTAGCAGAGCTGCAAGCAAAGCACCTTCACACAGGCTATCACAGCTCAATACCCAAAAGCAGGGCAGGGAAGAAGGTTCACAATTCAGGGGAAAATGGGAGAGAGGAGAAGAAGGAAGAGGTGAAAACTAGAATCCCATAGTAGATACTAGCAACTGGAAAAGAAGGTCAGGAATAAAAGAGAGGACAGACTGGTCTGAGAAAATTGATTGAGTTTGACTGGAGCCTCAGGAGGTGGTAACTGAAATCTGGGAGCCTTCACATTAAAGTAGAAGAGTAGTAAAGCTCTCAAGGGAGCATGAGTCAAACCAGTTTACTTTCCATAAGTAACCCCAACTAACATTCGTATCTTGTGTGGTATGGTTTCCTAGCCTGGGCTTGCCCAAATCTAACTTTGAGGACAAGATCCTCTTAGAAGCCTGTCAGTTACAATTCAAATTTGGGGTTAGCTTAACAGTTCATCTTGCTGCAAGTTACAATTAGTTTGCAGATACAGCTGCGGTAGTTGTTTCCTCTTATCTCCATTCTGAAGCAGGAACAGCTATGCTCCCAGCTACATTGGAAGAAAAGGGTATGATTAAAAGCTGCGTAAAGTGTATCTCTCAGACATAATTAGTTTGTAGATCAGTGCTGAGGAAAAAAACACCAATCACCACAACAGCAAAGTTGTTCAGGAAATCATCATCTCATCTAGTCCCTTCCTCCAGATCCAATTTATGCAGTCTCCTGCAGCATTTCAAAGCAACCTGCCAGGCACCAGCATAAAGGACTTTCTAAATACTTTTAAAAAACAAACAAACAAACAAAAAACTTAAAAGGACTTCTTGGCAGTAGAGACTGCCAAGGGAGTCACAAAGCAGAGGCTACCTTGGGATTCCCCTTACATTACAGCATTACCAATTACCTGGGAGTGAATATGGCCTCAAATCATAAATGCCTGCAAGTCTTAGCAAAAATTACCTGTTCCTCCCCTCTGGCTTAGCTATTACAATGCTTTCTCAGAAATCATTTCTTTCCTCTGGTGAAAAACAAGGAAAAGGCCAACCACTCCCATGCTACTTCTGGCAGACACTATACTGTAAATATCTTAGCAAGCATGACGCTGCATTATGAAACAATAAAGCTGCAACTTCACTTCTTTATGCAATGCTGTGAAGCTCTGGAAGGAGGTCAAAGATTGGAGGTGAGCAGTCATTGCTCGGTAAAAAGACCGTGCTGCTCTACACTTTGTTACAAGGCTGTAATTCCAAGAGAGGTTCAACAGTCCTGCAGAGCAAGCTCACATGGGGAGGGGAAAAGGGAAGCCAAAACCCGTGCTGAAATAGGTCAGCTGCCCTTCAGCTCTCAGAAACTGCACG